CCCATCAGCTTGCTTGTAAAATGTTCTAGAGTTTGATTCGCAGCGCCGCGTTCGTTGATTGTTTCGAGTTTAGTTGCCGTAGCGGATAATCCGATGGATTTTTGCTGATTTCTTGCTTGAGACAGACAGCCCGACGTCGGACATAAATAAAAAGCGGTGGGTGGTGCCAGGTGGGTGGTGGTGTTTTGCTGCTGGAGCCCCCTAAAAGCAGCTTGGAGGGAAAACGCCAGCCAGCCCCGGAAAGGCAATAAAACTTAATTTCCAGACAACACACTACACCACCGCAAAGAAAAACGCACGGGAAAGATGAAAATCCATTTTCGGGAACAGTACGGCAGGAAGGGTGAAGAAATCCTCTATGTGACGCCAGCAGGTGAGCAAATCGATCAAACCGACTAGGCAACAAACCAAGCTTTGCAGACCCCTTATTCCTATGGCAGCTGTAGACTTTGATTAAAATGTTTATAACTATTCAAGGAATGAAGTAATTTTAAGTTAACTCAACCCCAATTGTGTAAGTATCAGCTAATCTCCCTATAACCGCATTAAATGCCAATCTGCCACGTTGAATTTGATTAGTTGGCCTTACCTGTTCTTATAGAGAGACATGGAAATTTGTCTTATCAACATGATTAGCATTTTTAGAAACTTTAATATCATTCTTAGAAATTCAAATCAATAATTTTAATATTGATATCGGAATCTTATTTTATGTTTTATTTCTCTCACTTTTTGTTAATTCTTAATAATTTACAATTCTTGAAGTGGATTAAACTATAATTAAATAAAAAAAAGCATAATTTTATGTACGAAAAAAAGTTTCCTACAAAAGGCTTATAAAAAATAAGAGAAAACATGTTTTACAATAAAATAGAATATTGTAAATAGTAATATATAGATAACACCAGTTTACAAAAAAAAATCGATGAAATATACCATGAAACCTTTGTTTTTCGGTAAAGTACGTCTTCCTGATTAAGAAAATGGCACTTAAAATTTTTTTTTATGGATAACATTTTTTTTAAAGTGTAAAAAACGTTTTTGACCTTTTTTTTAATTTCTAACTTGAGTTGTGGTTAACCGATTTCAACCATAATTCACTCATTTTACAGGTAATAGAATGCCCTCCAACTTTCTTATACATTGCATTGAGTTCAATTCATTAGTTTGGAAGCTACATTTCGTCAAAGTTGAAAAAGTTAGAAAAAAAGCAAAAATGCTGGCATAAATGGCTTCGTTAAAAATACACGCCTAAAAACCGAAATTAGTTTTATAACTTCTACTGGTAGAAGGTGCTTTGACAAAAGAAACAAGCTATTGATCATTAGAATCCACCAGCAAATTAATTTGATATGCATTTTTGAAGCTTGCGACAACGGTGTTTTTTTGGCCGTTTAACTGACCGCTGTTAACTGACCTAACAGGGCTGTAATACCCGTTTTTCCCAACGTAAAAACTTGATATAAAATCGAGCTATTGAATGATTTTTTTGTTGATGGTCTTGTTAGTTGAATGAAAAATGTATCTTTAAGAATAAGTCATAAAAATAATTTGGGTTTTTAGGCGTGTATTTTTAACGAAGCCATTTATGCCAGCATTTTTGCATTTTTTCTAACTTTTTCAACTTTGACGAAATGTAGCTTCCAAACTAATGAATTGAACTCAATGCAATGTATAAGAAAGTTGGAGGGCATTCTATTACCTGTAAAATGAGTGATTTATGGTTGAAATCGGTAAACCAAAACTCAAGTTAGAAATTAAAAAAGGGTCAAAAACGTTTTTTACACTTTAAAAAAAATTTTATCCATAAAAAAAAATTTTAAGTGCCATTTTCTTAATCAGGAAGACGTTCTTTACCGAAAAACAAAGGTTTCATTCATGGTATATTTCATCGATTTTTTTTTGTAAACTGGTGTAATAAATAACACTAGTTTACAGCAAAAAAAGTAAGCATTGAGACAAAATTTTTTTTGATTAGTTTTGAGTTGCTAATCACGCTGAACAAATTAAAAAAATTCCCAAAGAACCGTTCTGGAGATATTTGCAAAAATCCAGATTTTGGCACTTTTTTTATAAAACCTAACAGATCTTAAAAACCATTAGACCAATAAACTTGTAACTTAAACTATTTAAAAGGCAATAGATACACCTTTCCGAAAAGCTATTACTCGTTGTGATCGGGTCGCAATTAATGGAGGTACAACCTGTGAAAGTTCAAAAAAAGTTTAATTTCTGGCTTTTTTTGTTATAGCTAGTTTTTATTTACTTAAAAAAAATACAAATAAAAATGTATATAATAGATAATAAATAATAGATAATAGTAAATAGTACCACATAGAAAATAAATTCTGCAAGGATTAAAGAAATTTTAACTGAATAACGACTCAAATTCCAGATCAGAGCAACATTGTGAGGGTCCCGCTGCGCGGCGACAAGCTGGTCATCCAGGAGAAGTTCCTGCTGTTCCGCGTGCTGCAGAAGGTCTTCCTGCCCAAGGGCTATCCGGATAGTGTGAGCGAGGATTATGCGGCCTATCAGATCTGGGACACGGCCCAGGCATTTTGCAGCACGATCTGTGGAACCCTTTGCACGCATGCCATCCTGAAAGGAATCGGCGTGGGAAGCGAGAATATCAATGCGTATTCCGCCACAGTCACCTGGATTCTAAAAGAGGGCAGCGGACATGTGGGCCGTATTCTCTTTGCCTGGTGGCAGGGCTCCCAACTGGATGTGGACTCAAAGAAATGGCGCCTGCGAGCCGATTTCCTCAACGATCTGGCCATGGGCATCGAAATCTATGTGCTTCCCAAGTATCCGCATTTCAGCACCCAAATCCTCTGCTGCTCCACCCTGCTAAAGGCGATTGTGGGCGTGGCCGGAGGAGCTACGAGATCGGCTTTGACCCAGCACCATGCATTGCGGGGCAATCTGGCGGATGTGGCCTCAAAGGATAGTTCGCAGGAGACGTGCGTGAATCTGGTGGCCTCCTTTGTGGGACTATATCTCCTCACGCTGATCAAGAGCCAGGCTGTTTTATATACCATATTCTACGTGGTGGTCAGTCTGCATTTGTACGCTAATCTCAAAGCGGTACGGGCGGTTTGCCTGCGGAGTTTCAACGAGTCGCGCTATTTGATTGCCTTGGAGGAGTTCTTTAGGTCGTCCAGAATGCTCAGTCCGCAGCAGGTTAGTTGGATTATTATTAGGATTAAGAGGATACATTTGTGTGGATCATACACAACTTAACTAAAGAAACCTAATGATATATTCTATACCAATTTTTCAAAGACCGCGAATTCTTAGGAACAAGAGGATTTATTTGTGTGGATCATACATAACTTAACTAAGAAACCTAATGATATATTCTATATTAATTTTTCAAAAACCGCGAAGTCTTTAGAACAATAGAAAATATGTTTTTGTGGATCCTACAAATGTATCATTTGAAGAAGTTGAAACAAATGTCGATATATCGTATCTTTTAATTTTAAATATTATATATGAATAACCATCTTGACCTTAAGAATTCGCGACGGGTCGATGAGCTGTGAAAATTGTGATCATCGTCTTATTTAAAAATAAATTTTATTTTCTTTGGGTAACCCTAAACTTGAACTGATCTACTTGAAACCCATTTGACTTGGGTCGTTTGGGTAAAAATTGACTGGGAACTTCATTTGTTTCTTGTGATTTTTATATAATTTACAATTAATCGGTAAATTTGGAATTATTTTCAGGTAAACGCCATGGAACGGGTCACAGTTGGACAGACGGTTTCCGTTTCCCTGAACATAAAGCTGGGACTGAGCGTAAAAAATTTAATAGACGAGTACAAGAGCAGCAGCGTCATCGAGAACATAGTATCCTCCTTCGATCCCCACGAGCACTTTATCATAGCGGAGACAAAGAAATGCTTGGGCGTATATTTGCACTTTGAAACGAGACCGCAGGATGTGCTCAAGGCGTACTTCTTTGCAGTGTCCTACCTGCAGGATAGGAATCAGATCAAGGAGAAGTACTGGGACATACAGACCAAGTGGCAGGAGTTCTTGGCGCTGGCGCAGCAGGAGGGTAAGAATAAACTCATTTAATATGTATTTTAATATTTAATAACTGTTTCAATTACCTACAGGTTGGCTTATCCATCAGCATTTGCTATTAGTGGACGAATTCCGTTTGGACTGGAAGGTGTAGGACGATTCTGAACTTTAATTGCTGAATTTGATTTGCTTGCTATGACCTGAACAATTGATTTCATTCGGACTTCATTATCATTCTCACATATCTCACATGGCTACCATAGAGCAAGAGCAAAAACATTGATATTAACTAAGTGCTATTGATAATTACCTAGATTTAGCTTTGTGAAACTCGTTCGCACTTGAACATCTTCCAACTAACTCTGCCTTAGCACAAAGTAATGTTTGTAACCGATATTTGATAAGATATTTTACCCCTGCTTTTACCCATTTACCCATGAATTTATCGGACGACATTATTTCAATTACTAGCTGCTACTAGGTCTAGAAGGGAAACGGATGGAAACACAAGAATCTATTTTGTAAGGACTTATTGTAAGTACGCATCTCGATATTTCGAGAGCCTACCGTACTTTTTTAGATTATAGCCAATGAAAATCTCACAACGAACTACAGAAAAAAAACAGGCAAAAAGTGTACAAAGTTTTAGGCTTCTTTTATGCTAAATGTGCAATATTATGTTAGTTATTAGCTTCGAATATCTATGAAATAAGTTGGCGTCCATTTTAGCTTAACCATAATGCTTTCCAATTAATGCAAAATATGAATTATGTGCATACCGTCTCATCACGCAAATGATTTTAATGAAACAAATGAATAAACTGAATTTTAAGAAAACTTAAATTTTAAATATTTATTTTTTAATATTTTTGAATTCAGCCCGCGAATAGACATTTAGCCATTCACCACGAAATGTATAGTTGGTATCCATTCCAGTGAATGGTCTTTTTTGTAGAAGAAGACAACACGTGCGCGCATTCAACGTGTATTTCAGTTGAGTTTTGTTTTTCGTCAATTTCGGTGGTTTTCAACATAATCTAGTGCGAGATTTAAGTTGAATAGTTATGGAAAGTGAGCAGCCAACGGCTGTGAATTCCTCAGCTTCAATTAAAGACTTTCAATCCAGCGAAACACCCATTGAAAGCGGAAAACATAGCGCCATGGAAGGAGACCCATCAGCAGATAAGGTGCAAACAACGCCCACAGGTGAGCTTATGAGCTTTGTAAGCGATAAACACAATAAAAACTCGAAATTCCATAGCAGAAACCACAAACGCAGTCGTAGAACCTGTACAAATGGAGCACCAAGTGGAGGATAAGTCAGCCAATGAGTCAACAGAAGGAAACCCATCGATTTCTGTTCAGGAAAATTCTCCAGTTTCAGTTGGAAGTCCTAAAAATGACCAACAGGTTGCAGGAATGGAGTGCGAGGCATCAGCAGCAGGGGAGCAGGAATCTCCTCAAGAAATGGAGTGTGAAGCACTTCCTCCAGTGCAGCCCGCTCCAGATGCCAACCCAGATCCTCAACCCAGTGGCCTTAGTCTTTTGGCTGCCTACAGCTCCGATGCCGATGACTCGGATGTGGAGGAAGTTACCCCACTCCAAGATAGCGACAACGAAGTGGTCGAAGTTCCACTGACGGACACCGCCTCCTCCACCGCCTACCGTCCAGTGGTGGCAGTCAGTTCGGGCGGTGAAACTTCAGAGAGCAGCAGCAGCAGCGACTCGGATTCCGACTCCGAAGGAGAATACCTCACTGTGCTGCGCAAGAAGATCGACAAGAGGATCAACACGGTGGAGTGCGATGAGGATGACGAGGATTTGGACGAAGATGGAGCCACCGGGGATCGTTCCCGGCGTCGGCAGCCGCCAAAAGTGCGCGGGGAAATGCTCCTCGATGAGCTGCCGCCCATCCATCAGCTGGAGATTACTGTGCCCGAGGATGAGTGCGTTGAGCTGGGCAAGGTTCAGTCCATTGTGGATCAGCTCGTTCTCGTTTCCGTGCTGCCCAATTCCATGCTTTTCGATCTGGACACGGTGCTGTTCCTGGAGAAGGGTCGCAAGGTTCTGGGCGAGGTGTTCGATGTGTTGGGTCAGGTGGCGGATCCGCTGTACTGCGTCCGCTTCAACAGCAACCAACAGATCTTGGATAGAGGCATAAAAATCGGCGATGTCGTCTACTGCGCCCCGAAAACCGAACACACCCAGTTTGTGATCCTCTCCAAGCTGATGCAAGTTCGAGGATCGGATGCCTCGTGGGAGCACGACGTGGAACCGCCTTCGCGCTACATAGATTACTCGGATGATGATGAGGAAAGGGAAGCCAGGCAGGAGCAGCGCAAACGCCGTCAGAGGGATAGGACAAACTCTACGGACTCGGTGGATACGGTAACCTCAGTGGCGACAACGGCCACGGAGGCCTCTTCGGTGGCTCCTTCGCCTTCTCCTCGCCAGCGCGGGCGTCGCGGACAAAGGGAGAGCTTCCGGCAGAACCAGAGACCCAACAATTCGCAGGACAACCACAATCAGGCTCGCGATCAACAGTACAACTACCATCCCAGCTATAATCCAGGAAGCTGGCACTCGAACTACTATCAAAACTACCATCAGGCAGCCGCTAACTTCAATATGCCGCCGCAGCAGCACTTCCCAGTGCCCAATTATGGCTACGGAATGCCCTACGCCATGCCGCCAATGTATCCTCACATGTACCCGCCACCACCGCCCTTCGCCCATCCTCCTCCTCCTCCAAACAACCATCAAGGACAACCGCCACCCAGCTAGAATATTCTGTGAACTATTTTTATTATTCCAATAAAAAATCTCCTTAAAATGTGTGTTGGGTTGTTCGATAAAATGCATGAAAGGTTCATTAGATTTGTATAAAAAGGTACTTAATCTGTGGGGGATCATTAAATATGGTTTACAGGTGTAAATACGTACTAGGTCTATAATATTTGTTTGTGTACCTGGCTTTGCTTATTATCATACAGCAGGAAAAACAACTTCAATGTGTATAAATATGCTTGCAGGCTAATCTAAAATATATATATAAACATGTTTCTGTGCGTACGGGTGCACTTTTTGTATATTTTTTAAATTGAGCTTATTCGAGCAACCAAACAAGTGGACCGGGAGTGGGAACCGCCATTTCCAGGACCACGTAGGCACGTGAGAATGTGACAATAAAGGATATTTAGATATTTACATTACAACAATAAAGTAAACGAAACAACAATGCGGGCCGGTTTGGGTTAATTAATCGTTGATTAATAAATGTAGCTTCGGAAAGTAATCTTTGGATATATCTATCGGTTTAAATTGGGCAAGGTTTCGGGGATCTTTCTTTTAGTTCTACCAAATATTCGTTGTATCACGATAAATCACGATATTTCTTGTATTGTTTAGCCAACTAATAATGCGTTCTTTAAATGTTTAAAGTTATTTGGCACATTTTTCTTTTGAATATATAAAACTTGATATGATTTTTATACGTTATCCCATGCAAAAAGAGATGATTCAAGATTACTTTTCGCTTCTACTACTCGTAAGTTGTACAAAATAACCCAAATAACAATAAAAAAAAATTCGCTGCTTGGAGTTCCAATGCCGCAGACTCAAACTTTTAAAGATGTTCGATCTGATGGCGAGGTTTTAGCAGGACCACCACAGCGGTGATGTTGTCCTGCGAATCCCGCTCCTTTGCAGCCTCTATCAGAAGTTTGGGAATGTCGTCCAGCTTCGTTGTGGCATCCGCCAGGGACTCGTAAACAGTTTCGATGATCAGGGACTCCGGCACATGATCCCACAGGCCATCGGTGCCGAGGACAAGAAAGTCATGAGCCTCACTTAGCGGAACATCCACAAAATCGGGCTCCGCGATGACTGCCTCCAAGCTGTAATCGCCAATGGAACGGGCCACGTTCAGGATGCCATTAACCCTCCACTGACCCTGCGCATGGAGCACAGTGCCGCCGGCTGTTTCTATTCGCTTGCGTTCATCTGGATTCTCCGGTTTGTGCGGCTTTACCAGCTGCAATTGGGTTCTTTTGCCCACCAGCAGAGCCATGGAATCACCCACCCAGGCTATGTACAGGTGATCCCTGGTGATCAAGGCACAAACACTGGTTGTGCCGCTGGTGATCTTCTTCTGGGTGAAACGCTCGTCGGCCAGCAGAAAGGCCGACTCGAAGGCATTGCGATAAAAGTCGGGGGAATTGTCGGGGGGTTCGGACTGCGCCTTCAGCTGATCGGCCAGCAGTTGTGGCAGCTGGCTGGTGGCATAGCTGGCTGATAAGGAACCGGAGTGCCCATCGAAGACGCCAAAGAAGCGAGTGTTTCTATCCGGCAAGCCGTACATCTCGCCAAATCGAGCCAGGCAAACGCAGCGGTCCTCCATTTTCCTCGGTTTGTTCTTCACAGCCGAGGAAGTGTGCAGCGGTTCCTTGGCTAGGTGGCACTCCTCCTCATCTGCAAAATCCTTGAGCCGCTCCATCTCCGAGTTGTCGGTGAGCTTGAGGAGGAACTTCTCCAGCTCACTGGCCACAAATTTCTGCAGCTTTAGCAGATCGTACTGCGGCGGACCCTCCACGGTGACCACCTCGCACTCCTTGGCGAAGCACAGATCCTGCTCCAGCTGCTGCGTGGCCCGGTGGAGCAGCTTCATCCGAAAAAGCTCCGGACAGCCGCGGGAGCCTAGCTGCTGCCAAATGGAGGAGACCAACTCCGCATGACGCTCCTCGCTGGACACCTTGTACGTGTCGCTGGTGGTGCGGGTTACACAACTCCGGCTGGCCACCTCCTCGCCAGCGGCCGCCTTTTCCGCCGCCGAGGCGAGAAATCTCTTGAATTCCACCAGGTGCACACATTCCGACGCGGGAATCGCATCTGCCGACATACTTCTCGCGGGGTATCCCAATTGTTGTTGCTAATGACGTCGCGCGATCATGCGCTAATCACTCTTGATTGTTGCTCAACGATGATTCACCCGCGCACTTGGCATTTTATGTGTTTTTATGTTGTTATTGTTTGCGTTCTTTTATGTTGTTCTGTACTGAACTGTACTGGTTCGATAACAGTGGGTGACTTCACGGTGCCTATCAGAGTGCATCCAGGGTGTTCACACCAGCACCTCTATTGCGTTTTACTCGTTGCAATAAATAAAACTTTACTACTAGTAGAGAGCATAATAAACAATTTGAGCTGTTTTATGGTCAATTCAGTTTTTTATTTATTTTATTGAATTTATTAATTAATCACTACAGTCACTTTTATACCGCATACTTTTAAAAAACTTAAAATTATATAATTTTTTATTTATTTGTTTTTATAGCAAATTTAAATAAATTAGGTTGCCTTTTATAAACAGCCAAATTATTTATTATTTTTATCCAGATACAGTGGGCCACAATAAAAACGCAAATGCGACAGTGGAAGTCGAGTACAAAAGTGGAAACAAGTCATTATGTTGTTGCCAAAACTACGGCAATGCCACCGGTGCCAGCTGATTGTTGCTGTTGCTTTTGTTTTTGTTACAAAACGTTTTGTGATTTTTGTGTTACCTTAAAGTTAAAACAAAATATGATACAAGCCCCAAACAGAAACTGCTCTAAATAACACAAGATGTCCACGCCACTGGAACAGCAAACCGATGAACGTGAGGCGTTGCAGTCGATCTACGAGGGCGACACGAACTTTAAGGAAATAGACAGCGTCACATTTCAATACAAAGTAAGCCACATGGATAAAAAATTACATAGAAATATTCAAATTTCTTACTTAATAAATTAAATTGCAGTACGGCGAAGAGGACAACTACAAGTCTTTTCTGGTGGAGCTAAAATGGGGCGAAAACTATCCAGACGAGGCGCCAACGATCAATATGAATACATTTTACAATAGGAATCTGTAAGTGGATTGGAATTCCCCAAGAAAATCTGTATTCCGTGTGAAGATATTGGAAAAATTAAAAGGCAGTCCTTTAATTTGATTAAAAGAATATTTACAGATTTTTTAAGACTTTAATTGGCTTAGCAACCAAATTTCCAAAACCCTGCAAAGTTTTGAATGGATTTTTCAAAACCTTTTCTATATTTTCTGATTTTCTAATTCTTTGTAGACTTCTTTTTAAAAGAACTGCCTTTTAATTTAATCGGAACAATATTTACAGATTTTAGAGGGATTTATTTGGTATGGAAACCAACTATCCAAAACCGTGTAAAGTTTTGAATGGATTTTTTAAAACCTATTCTACATTTTCCGATTTTCTAATTTTTTGTAGACTGCCTTTTAATTTTTCCAATATCTTACGCCGGATTAAAAATTTTATAAGAATTAAATTAGCTTAGAAATCAACTATCCAAAACCGTATAAAGTTTTGAACGGATTTTTCTAAACCTATTCTATATTTTCTGATTCTTTTTAGACTGCCCGCTGTCAAGGAAGAGATCCAAACCGCCCTCAATACGGAAGCCACTCAATGGTTGGGCTGCGGCATGACCTACACCCTTTTTGAATGCCTTAAGGACAACCTGGAGCAACTGACAGCTGGCCAGCCCGAATCCGCACCCGCCGTGGTAGCCGTAGACGATGGCGTTGGTGCTCTGAAGATCTCCGATCCCGATGGAGATGCCAAGAAGAAGGAACCCAAGAAGGAACAGCTGACCAAGGCACAAAAGCGCCGGCAGTGGGAGCGAACGGATCACAAAGGAGATCGCGAACGTGGCTGGGATTGGGTGGATCTCGTCAAGCATTTATCGCAGACAGGTGGAAAGCACGATGATGCCCCAACTGCCGCCGAAATCGCTGCGTCAAACGCTCCAGCTCTGCATCCCCTGAACAACTAAAAAAAACCCTAATCACTTAAGAGGAGAAGACAACAACGAGAAAACATCTAATCGAAATCAAAAGCCAATACTATTTTTAATGTGATCAGATAATGGCGAATTAGCGCAATAAGTCTGTCATGGAACCCAGAATTATGTTTACTAACTATTAAAAGGTTAAAACTTTTGATTTTATTGGTCTTTGTATCCATGGGATGAATTCGTTTTAAGCTTAGATTAATTAATTTTATACACAGAAAAAAATGGTAATGGTTTTTTTAAGATCAAGTTATTCATATCATTTTGATATGCATAAAGATTATGTTAATCTTTTTTTATATTATTTGCTCAAAAAATACTAAATTCGGTATTTTTTATGATATGATAAAATATCATGTAGATATGTTTGAATCTTAAATTTGACATAAATTATGTCGGCTTTTTGTTGATATGAAATAAGGTAGAAATAACTCTATTTCGTATGGGTATTTTTTCAAAAGATGGGGGAGTTTTAAAATAAATTAGTCTTTTTTTATATAATTATTATTTAGATAACTAGTTCAAGGATTGGCCTTATACATAGATAGATAGTCTTTGTATCCATAGGATGAATTTGTTTTAAGCTATGATTAACTTATTTGATAGGTCGTGAGCTGGGGGAATTTCAGAATGAATGAGTCGTTATTGTTAAATCACCAATATACATGTCTCACTAAATATAATAGAATTATAGTTCAAGGATTGGCCCTTATAGATAAGATAAACGAACAACTGGGCGAATTTCCTGGGAAAACTTTATTGACATTTGTAAGAGTTGCGTACATTGGTAATAAAATCATAGTTCAATACAAAAATAAAGATCAAATCGATAATAATAATACAGGGATTTTGTTTAGCAAGGATCAACATTGACAAGGATAACTAGCGATAAAAACGGCACTTCCAATTGTGACAAGTATGGCTGAGCCTAATTGAACACCCCGTCGGCCCGAACATTTAGGGCATCCAACAAGGAGCCCATGGGCGTGGAGGGAGCAAAGCTCTCGATGCTGTTGGTCAGCTTGTTCTTAATGTTTCGCAGACGCAAGGAGGCGTGGATGAAGGTTACCGCGATGGGCAGCAGCACGGTGAAACCTGTCAGCAGCACGGCGCTAAGCAGATGGAGGAGCAGATATCCCCCGAGCAGGGCTCCAGCCAGGATGTACCACTTCTGCTGGGCATTCTGCTCGGCTGCATTGGCATTTCCCCCAGTCAGACGACTGGCGATGAAGTTCTTCTTCGACTTGCCACTGAAGAACTGCCAGATGACGGCGATAATCAAGGCCTGTACCAGCAGACCAGTAATAATCTTCAAGGGATTGAAGAATATCATCAAAACATAGATGGTAAGGAAGAGCAGAAAGTAGTTGGTCTGATAGTAGAGAAGATTCTTCACCACACGATTGCCCCACTTCTCGAAATCCTTGAGATTGGGCAGCTGGAATCGGGCCGATCCCAGGATGAAGTCATCGAGGGTCCGGAGCGGCGGCAGCTGAAGATTGCCGGACAGGGCGGCCGCAGCATCGCCCACCGAGGAAGTCGAAGGTGCTGACATGGTCTTTGGGTTTTTGCGAGTGTCCTGGTGGTTCTTGTCCTGCTGGCTGAGCTTCTGGTAGTTCGGTTGACGTAGGCTACGTGCAATGTTACGAACCTCCTCCACGTTGAGCAGATTAGAAGTCAATTGCCGAATCTTCGGCCGCAACCCAGAGTTTCCTGATTTCCCGCTCTTCCCGGGCAGCAGAAGTCTCTTCTCGTCGTCGGTGAACCAGTCGCAGTTGTCTTCTTGGTCACTATAATCCTCCAAGCTCCGAAATTCCAGCGTAAATCCTTGATTTTCACACGACTCGGTCGTGACAATTCGTGCTGACTAACAAGCAATGAAAATGACTATGGGAATCCGAAGATGGGAGCGTGCTTTTTGTCGTGAGTGCTTAAAGTATATATTTATTTAAATTTCTATAAAGAATATATATTTATTTAAATTTTTATTCAAATTTCATGGTGCTGCAAGTTCAAATTTTGAAAGAATTTATTTGACAAACCAAAAAATCTATTTTTTAATTAAGCGTGCGTGAGTCGTGCCTAATAGTGCCTAATAGTTCCAAACCAAAAGCTCACCACCAAAATGTATCGATGTTTTCAGGCGATGACGTTGCCATACAAATATTTAAATTTATTATTCAGTTCTTAGATAACGATGTTTTAAAATTAAATGCTTACTTCCACAGTAAAAATCAGAAATATTGATTTCTTTCTTCAAAAACAATAAAACAAATAATAATAGAATTATAGATTTCTATAGAAAATCAGAAATATTGATTTTTTTCTTCAAAAACAATAAAATAAAAATATATATTTCTTTCTTCAAAAACAATAAAACAAATAATAGTAGTATCTAAATAACTACGTTTTATTGATCAACTGTCCCCTGTTTATTTGAACGCCATCACTCGAAAATGATTATTTTTAACTTCAATTTATTCAATTCGACCACATTCAGATTTAATTCAAACTCTTTGTCAAATAACAAGACTCTGGCTCTATTTTGGTTAAATAGACGGAAGTATAAGTACAGCTAAACATAACAAAAATCCTTTGGTGAAAGGAAACTAAAAGTGTGGCTTACGAAAATTATTCTGGAAAAGACTTTTACTTATGTGTGTGAATGCTTGAGGAAGGAACGGGTGGGTGGTGGTGGTGCGTAGATTACAAGAGAATCAACCTAAACATTGTTAAACAATTATTTATATTAATATTCATGATTAAATTAGGAATAGTTTCTCTGCTTATCCTCCGACTTGGACGTTGACTACGACTACTTAAAACTTGGTTCAAGTTTTGGTAATGCGTTGCAGCTGGTAACACGATGATGCTATCATTTCTAGGTGGTGCTTGGTTACGCTTCCAGGTCGTTCACGAACAGCACCTCGCGGTTCTTGAGTCCCACATCCTGCAGGCTCTTGTTCAGCGTCGTATTGGCTGTGTCTGCTCCCTCGGCGGCGTCCACGTCCGCCTTCGAGTAGAGCACCCTCTTCGGGAAATTCGTTGTGATCTCGAACTCATCCGGGGAATCGGGATGGCAAAAGAGATAGTGATAAACGTCCTGAAAAATAAAAGTGATAGTGTTATTCAAAAATCATTACTAAAATCGAGAGAAATAAAATTTTTTCGAACCAAAATAGCAGACCAGATTTAAAAAAACAAGAGAGAACGCTATAGTCGGGTGCCCCGACTATCAGATACCCGTTACTCACCTAAAGGGAGTGCGAAAGAGATGGAGAAAAACTTTGATCCGCCGTAACTTTTTAACGAATGGTCCGATTTAAAAAATTTCTTCTACATTTCGATAGGTATTGATAAACACAATAAAACTGCATTTTTACTTTTCCAAAATATTGAAATTTTTAAAATCGTATATAAGCGATTGTGGGCGTTAGAGGGGGCGTGGCACCCTTTTGAAATAAACTTGCGCTGCGTAGGAACTCCTAGAATCTGCATGCAAAATGTCAATCTTCTAGCTTTTATAGTTTCCGAGATCTCAGCGTTCATACAGACAGACAGACAGACAGACAGACGGACAGACAGACGGACAGACGGACATGGCTAGATCGACTCGGCTAGTGATCCCGATCAAGAATATATATAGTTTATAGGGTCGGAAACGCTTCCTTCTACCTGTTACATACTTTTGCACGAATCTAATATACCCTTTTACTCTACGAGTAACGGGTATAATAAGTAGGCAATAAAATTGCTGATTAGAGCCCTGCGTGAATCATTAAATTTTTGTTTTATCATAGTATGCCGTGAAATTTTCTGATTTGTTTAATTTAATTTTATGTGAAATTAATTGAATGTTTTTCTAATTAATTTCGAATTGAATAAATGAATGAATAATTTTTATAAATTTTTTGAATTTGTCCTTTTTTTTCGTGTTTTATTTTAAGAACAAAAAGTGGAAAATTTTTAACAAATCAATGTTAACTGCTTAGTAAATAAATGAAATTCAGGCAGATTTAATCACAAAATGATGGGGGTTTCTTCTTCAAAAGAAATTGTTTGAATTATTTCGGAATTAATTCCATTAATTCATTCAATTCTATTTAACTCAAAATTCTAATTAATTCACTCATATAAAACAAAAAATTGAAAATGATTCATAAATCCATTCATGCAGAGCTCAAATCGAGATATATTAATAATATATATATATATTATTATATATATAATACTAAAAAAAAATAGGTAGGCAATAAAATTGCTGCTCAAGCCGATAACAAGGTGAGTAATTCCTCAAATGAACAATCAGCCTCATTTTTAGCTTACCAGCACCGAATCCGTCTGGTTGAAGCGCCGCTCGAGGCGCGTTCCACTGGGCAGCTTGAAGACAACTGCGATGGCGCCGGCCGCATTCGCTGCCGGTTCCGATGGCACCAGGTTGGCCAGTTCGATCTTCTGTCGCGCAATCTCCTCCTTGCGCAGCTCCACATCGCGGCGAGCGCGCTCCACGGCTTCCTCAGCCTGCCGCACGGCATCCCGCTCCCTTTGCCGCTGTCTCTCCTTCTCCTCGTCCGCCAGCAAACTCTGCTCGTAGGCCTCGTCCTGCTGCCGCCTCAAAGTCTGGGTAAAGTTACGCTCCAGGCGATCCGCACGCGCCTGACTTAGCCACACCTCATTGGCGGCCGTCACCGACTGGAGGCGACGCAGCAGCTCCTCGGGCGTGCAATCGCCCTCGAAGCGTCCGACGATCATCATACGATTCGCACGCAGGCTGATCATCACCATCAGCGGGTAGCTGCGCACCGTGATCGACTGCATCACCCGGTAGCCCTCGGGCGTGGCCACGTCGCAGCCCCACAGCAGGGTGTGTGTGTTGATGTAGTCAATAACCGACCTCGACGCGAGTGTGTTGCGGCAGAAGGAGTCCACATCGGGATTCTTGGCGGGATCCTTGTGCAGATAGACGATCAGGAAGCGCAGCTCCTGCTTGGCATCGTTCAGGGCCTGGGCATAGGTGCCTTGGTAGAAGACTGGGTGCTCGGGGTACCTCTCGTAGTACTCCCTAATGAACTTCATCACATCGCCCAGCGGATCGGTCACCAGGCGAGCTTCGTTACCGCCGCCCAGGTTTACAAACGCACTCACGATGTTCGTCAGCGTTGAGTAGAAGTACTGGAACACGAAGTTAATCACGTAGCCAAGGATTCCGGTGAAGCTGCGGGGTATTGGGCCGCTGGGCACCCGGCTTACTGTCCTTCCGCCGGGCATGTTGGCGGAGAACACCTGCTGCAGGAAGCGGTCGTTGATCACAGCGGGCGCTCGCACATCCGTGGAGGCGGCAAACATGGTGGGGCGACCCTCGCGGATATTGAGCTGCTCCTGGAAGGCCACCTGAAAAGGGGAAAAGAAGCCAATCCTTAGAAACTTGAAGAAATAATGTTACAAAGTGAAAGTCGGTTGTGATTCGTGGTAAAAGAGCTTTGAATTTTAAAATTTCCAGGTTTAATGTATCTTAGATCATTTGAAAGTATGTAGTTTAACTGATAAAATAAAGAAAAACAAGGACAAGGTTTATTTAAAGTTCTGATAACTCTAGAAATTAAATAATTTAAATTACAAAAATTTTAATCAAATTTAAAAAGTATACAAAAAAAAATAAAGAAAAACAAGGAAAGGGGTTTGTTCAAAGTTCTAATATTCTGTAGAACTTTAGAAATTAATCAATTTAAATTACAAAAATTGTAATTAAATTTTAAGAAGTATTAAGAAAAACAAGGACAAAAATTAAAAATTAATCAATTTAAATTACAAAAATTGTAATTAAATTTTAAGAAGTATTAAGAAAAACAAGGACAGGGTTTATTCAACGTTTTAATATTCTGTAGAACTCTAGAAATTAAATAATTGAAATTACAAGAAATGTAAATAAATTTAAAAAGTATAAAAAAAATAAAGAAAAACCAGTAAAGGGGTTTGGTCAAAGTTCTAATAATCTGAAGAGCTCTAGAAATTAAATAACTTAAATTACAAAAATTGTAACTAAATTTTAAAAAGTAGAAAACATTTTTTTTTAAGCAGTCATTGTTTAATAGTAATCACTGTACGCCGGCTACCATCTTCCGTGTCCCTTTTATTCCGACCGCGACTGTGCGGCCATATAAACATATGCATACCTCGAGATCCCATTGGTGTCTGATCAGGACGTCGCGGCACACGTTCATGTCCTCGATGCCGGTGAGGTCCTGGAACTGGAGCACCTTCTCCGTCTGTTCGTTGGTTAGTCCGTCCGCTTCCATTTTTCCAGCAGTCGAAGGCCTCCGTTTCCCAGTTGTTGTTGTTTTTGTCTTCTACGCAGTGTGTGCGTGAGTGTGTGTGTTGGTGTGGGTGCCAATTGGCTGTGGTGTTGTAGGCTGGCGCTGGCCTTTGTCCAGTGGCTGAACCGCTGCAGCGGGGGGATGGGAGATGAGTTGCGTGGTCACTAAATGCTTCTACTGGTCGCCAGGAATCATTTCACGCACGCCAAACAGCCGCACTACAAGGTCTTTAACATTTCTCGGCAATTTATTTCTTTTTCGCAGGTGATTGCTCGCTCTTCTTCTTGCCCTTCTGCCAATGATCCGATAAATTTGGTTGTGAATGACTAGAGTGACCGCACTCGCCGACGCGTTCACACTGCGACTGCAGCAGCCAAGTGCCCACTAACAATTTGTCTTCACTTAATTGAGTACCGAGTTAATGCCTTTTGGACGTAAAGTTTGATGCGGTAAAATACGGTACAAAATCATTGATATTGCTGGAATTTATGTCAAAACCTGAGTAGAGAGGAAAAGAGGAAATGTTATGGGTTACTACAAAATAGTTGAATAGCAAACAGCATTAAAAAATATATGACAATTGAAATAATATTACTGAGAGCTACAAGATACAAGAAATGCAAATTGTATCCACTGCTCACTTAGTGGAACCAAAGTATTTGCAGTGGAAACAGCTTTCAACATTCAACTTATTAAGCGAAACATGCGGCGGTCACACTCGACATTCCGCACAACAACAACAAGCATAGCGTTCAAATTTGAATTGTGTGACATTCAACAGAAGTAAAGCAAAATGTATGTGATTTCCACCTCGAAGAAGACCGTTCTGTCCGACTTTGCGGATCTGGAGACGACGTCTGAGTATGTGCACCAAAGCGCAGAACCGACCGACTTCCAGTTCAATGGCCAGCGGCGCGTCTTTGTGGAGGTGAACAAAATGGGCTTGGCGGTGATGCGGATAAAGGAGAAGAAGGAGGGAAAGGGTAGGAACGAGGTTAGGAACTAAATTCCCGCTGGAAGCTACAATCCGCCATTTTCAGCTCCCGAGATTCAGCGAGTCCGCAAACTGACCATCGATAATGCCTACAGTGTGGCCTGTGCCAAGCAATCCCTGGAGGAGATCGCCGTGGGCCAGAGCGGCTGCGTCAAGCTCTACAACTTCCGGACGGCGCAGCTCATCCACCGATTCCCAGCGGATCCCCAGAGAAGCACTGTTCTCTACATGGACTACAACAACACGGATGAGTATATAGCCGCCGTCGGCGATGGCGGGGACATCAGCATCCTGGGCACCAAGACCAAGCAGAAGACCAACACCTTCACCATCGATGGCGAGTGAGTTAAAGAGACATATTGGCCATTTTTAAATAATTAGGTTAAGGTTCAAAAAGGCTGATCAAAAATTAAATATGTATGTTAGAATATAATTATAGCAATTTCCACTCCGTTCTGAACTATTTTACATGATGCATTATTGTTTTGACTAAATTTTCATATTTTTATACCCGTTACTCGTAGAGTAAAAGGGTATACTAGATTCGTGCAAAAGTATGTAACAGGTAGAAGGAAGCGTTTCCGACCCTATAAACTATATATATTCTTGATCAGGATCACCAGCCGAGTCGATCTAGCCATGTCCGTCTGTCCGTCTGTCCGTCTGTCCGTCTGTCCGTCTGTCCGTCTGTCTGTCCGTCTGTCTGTCTGTATGAACGCTGAGATCTCAGAAACTACAAAAGCTAGAAGGTTGAGATTTCCCACACATATTCTTTGGCTTCCTACGCAGCGCAAGTTTATTTTAGCCGAGCGCCACACCCCCTCTAACGCCCACAATCGCCCACTAACGATTTTAAAAAGGGTCCTGCGCCCACATCTTTAAAGATTTCCGAAAAGTAAAAATGCAATTTTGTTGTGTATATTTATACCTATCGAAATGTAGAAGACATTTTTCAAATCGGACCATTCATTAAAAAGTTATACGCAATCAAAAATTATATATCTATCTCCCTCGCACTCCCTTTAGCTGAGTTACGATTATTAGTCGGGACACCAACCCTACACAGCGTTCGCACTCCTTTTAGCTGAGTGACGGGTATTAGATAGTCGGGACAACAACCCGACTATAGCGTTCTCTCTTGTTTTTAACTATGTTTATGTGACTTTTTCACTCTGATGTGATTTAATTACACTAATTAACAGCTAAAATATAAGGATCATTGTGTTCGTGGTAGAGTTCAAACCCTAGATCACAAAAACGAAATCAAAAATTTTTTTATGGATTCATTTTTTTTTTAAGGTTTTTGAACTTTAAAAATAACAATTTTTTTGAGTTTTTATGAATTTAACAGACAGTTAAACTACCTTACAGTCAAAAATGGTAAAAACACTTTCAAATTGGTAATGTATGCCGACCTGTAGCTCACAATATACTCAATGTATCCCATACATTTCTTCGGCAAAGTTAAATAATAATAAATAAATAATATTATATTGTTTAGTTTTGGTCTAGGTGTCAACCTCTACCATCATCCTTCTTGGTGTATTTTCTAAAAAATTATTTTGTTAACTAATATTATCAGTAAACTAAAATCTTGTTCCAAGATAATAAAAATTATAAGTCGATTTTTGTTAAATCTTTCTATTTTTCGGTCTATTCCAGCTCCACCCTGGTACGCTTTAGTCCGAGCAAGCGCTTTCACCTCTCGATCGCCTCCTACAAGGGCGCTGTGACCGTGTACGATGTGCAGGGCATGCGAAAGATATTCCACGCCAGCGAGGCGCACAGTGCTCCCTGCCGGGACATCAGCATGTGCGCATCCCAGCCTGCGCTGCTGGTCAGCGTGGGCTACGATTGCAAGATAAACATCTTCGACATCCGGCGTAATCGCGCTCAGGCCTCCACGGATCGCTTGACCTACTCCCTGCCGCTGTCAACGGTAGCACTAAGTGAATGTGGCACCTACCTTTGTGCTGGAAACCTTAAGGGCGAGCTGATTGCGTACGATATGCGGACCACAAAGACTCCCTTGGCCGTTAGGAGTGTGCACGATACGGCTGTGAACAGGGTGGCTTTTGTGCCGATGCCCAGCGGGGATATCCAGCAGAACGGCAGCATAAATAGCTCGGGGAATGCAACTGGATTGGACGTGGAAACTCCACGTGTGGAGCGCATTCCCAGCGATGAGCTTCGCAAATCCATAGCCGCTAATTTGCTGAGTACCAACCAGCAGCTGAACAACATAAGCAAAATGGGCTTCGGCATTCCGACTCCGGCGACTGCTCGCCGGGATTCCTTCTGCGATTTTTTGGACGCTCAAGGTCCCAAGGCTGTGGATCGCATGTCCACGCGTTTGGGCACCTCATACAGGGACAGCTTTGATTGGGAGTCCCTCAACCGGAAGCCAATACAGAATGATAATGCCCACCGCCAGAGCCTTTGCCCTCCGGTGGGATCTAATCTCAGCTCGGTGGACAACTCCTGCAACAGCTCCACCACGGAGTCGCTACAGCGTAAGGCCGTCACATTGCGTTTTTAAATAACAAGCTTATGGAATATTATTTGCAGAAACCTTAAGCGGACCCCTCAAGGATCGAAGCAACATGTCTGGCGAAGGAAAACTCATGAAGATCGCCGAGACAGATGAGCACAGCGAGGAGCAGTCGGCCAACATTTCCGTGGCCAGCAGTACGGGCAGCGACAAGGAGAATCCACCGCCAGTTGACACTGAATTGAAGCGTCGGCTGCGCTTGCTTTCGGCCAGTCGAAACAGTACGCCGCATCATGCCAATGTCACACCGCAATCGTCCAATCCGCAGTTGAAACCCCAGCAGTTGCTGGCCAAATCCTCCAGCGGATTGTCGGCCCTAGTAGATGCGGACTGGCGCAAGGAGTTCAGCGATTTGAAAGAGTTCGTCGACCAGCGTTGCGGACAGGTGGAGAGGGAATTGGAATACATTGGCTATTGCAATCGACGGCAGATGGTCGCGCAGATGACCAATTTCATGAAACAGCATTTGGAGAACTCATCTGAAATCCGCGACGCCCTAGCCTTACTTCTCCAAGGAGACAGCTTCATGTGCGAGTTTTCCCGCCTGCAGCACGAAAACGAAATGTTGAGGGCTAAATTAAAGTTTTATCAGGAGCAAGAGCAAACGGAATCCTGCGGTGAATAAGAGACATTTGGTACTGCAACAACAGTTTTCATTTTGTCCATAATTTATTGAACTAATGTTAGTATTGTATTAGTTAATCGATTGTTAATTGTGATTCCAGAAAAACAGAAAAAAGCTGTAGGCATTAAATGAAATTTAATTTAAAAGCTGAGGCTTACGTAAATGGATAAAGACATGTGTCAAAAACGGTGTGATAAAATTATAATCTTTTTAATTTTGTGCATAAATCTGTAAGGCACTAGGCAAAAGTGCCCTTTTTAATATAGTAATACTTTTAAAATTCATTTTCTGTACTCCAGCTTTAACTGATCATTGGTCGACAGCTTCATGGGCATGTCCACCGAAATGGTCCTGTTGAAATTCTCGTAGTCCACGATGTAGCATTCGTTTTGTGCATCGTAATGGATAATATTGACGAACCTCTGGCCCCAGAAAATCTCCCTTGGAAGATAGGAAGTCTTGGCCTCCGTCATTTGTGCGGTGGCAGGGGAAGTTCCAACAATGGACACATACAGCTCGAATTGGGCAGCATTGAAGAGTTTCGCCGTGGTGAACTGGTACAGCGGGCTTGTCTCATCGATGACATGACACACCACATCGGGCCACAGAATTATCTGTTCTCCATTTCCCTCCAGCTTCAGCTCCACGTGAGTTTTTATAATCTCACCCTCGCGCGTGCTGTTTGCGGAATAGATAAGATGAGGATTCGTATCTGTTAATTGCAAGTCTTGTCTAGCTGCAAGTATTATCTAATTTGTAGGTCAATTATTTTTTCAGTTGTGAATGGGTTTTATAAGAATGTATTCAAGGTTTCTATAAGAGCCCTGCATGAATGGATTCAATGAATTATTTTGAACTTTTTGTTTTATATGAATGAATTAATTATAATTTTGAATTTAATGGAATGGAATGAATTTGATTTTTGAGTTTAATAGAATTGATTTGTTAAATATTTTTCACTTTTTGTTCTCAAAAGAATGCACCAATAAAACTGCCAAATGCAAAAAATTCATAAAAATGATTAAAAATCATTCAATTTATTTCACATAGAATTGAATTAAACAAATCTGAAATTTCATGGTAAAAACTATGATAAAACAAAAATTGAATGATTTACGCAGGGCTCTATAGTAACTATAAAACCTCAAAAATAAATTAACTATCTTTGTATCAATATGAATTTGTGTGAAACGTTTAAGTTGGTTTATCCTACTATTAGATATGATTCCCTAATACATAAAATAATCTTTAATTTTAGTCAACTTATGACATAATCTTTATTTACGAGTCTACAGATAAGCCAAGAGATCAGTGATTTCCCGAAAGTGACTTAGTGACTCACCGTTTGTCCACGATAATGTAGACGCGTATTTTGGACTCAATGGACTGCTGCTCGCGGGGATCGCACACGCGGAAGAGCAAACACAGACGTCCGTCGCGATAACAGATCTGCGTGAGATAATCGGTAGATGGAGTTGCTGAAATCAGGGGCTCCTTTCCGTCGGGGGAGCATACTCACCACCGCCTTATCGCTGAACTTGAGCTTGGTAAGCTGACGGGCCGGACGAGCCGTTTTGGCATAGATCACGCTGATCATTATGCCCTCAATTAAGGCCGCACTCATCATCTGCATGACGAACAGGAATATCGTCTCCGGACACTCTTCACTGGCGTACTTTTCGCCGAATCCAAGAGTTGTCTGCGTTTCCACCGAGTATATGATCATGGCCACCCAGTTACCCACTCCGTAAATGCAAGGATCCTCGCCCTCGCCCATCCGTGCTCCAGTCACAGGATCAAAGATGAAGTCTCCGTGGGAGTAGGCCACCACGTAGCAGAGGGCGGCGAAGAGCAGCCAGCTGAAGAAGTAACTTCCAAAGAACAAAGTCAGCATATATTTCCACTCCAGTTCCATCTGTGCGATTCGAAAAAATAGCCTTTTGTACCTCTTTTAAGATTAAAGTGTCGACACATTTTAGAAATGTTTACTTCGGACTTTTACAACGTTCACAGTGACAGTCACTCTTAACAAGACTTCAGAAAATGGTAAGTGGTGAGGTAATGAGTAATATTTCAATAGCCCCATTTAAATATTTCGACAATTTCCCTACAATTCCCAGTTTAGCAATGCAAGCGAATATGTGGTTGGTTAATAAGTATTTATTAATATGTATGAGTATTTCACTGAGCCATGGATCGATTAATGTTTTAAAATCTAAATGCTAAACGTGACGCGTTCGCTCTGGTTGGGATTAGACTTCGAAAGATGGGGACTCAGGTGCGGTGGCTCATGTGCCAACTCATCGAGTCTGCGTTGTATGCTGGGCGTTATGCTATAGACATCCGATCGCGATGCATCGGCTTGAGACGATGTCGCTTTCTTGTTGCCGAACCAGGATCTTACCAGTGTGGTGACTAGATCCCGCATATAGCGCCAGGACTTCTCTGGGATTCGCCGGAACACCACGTTCTCCTTGCCGTTCTTCTCCATTACCCGGTGTAGGCTGCGTCTCAGTCCATCCGAGGAGGAGGTTCCTTGGCCGGAGCCAACATCTGGTGTTAGCTCTATTGTACTGCCGGCCCAGTCGTGTGTATATGGGAAGCTAAGGTTAGTTTTTAAAACATATGATTAGTTTACGTTATTTAAGAAAATTTATATAACATATTACTATGATATCCGTATATTTAATTTGATCTAAGGAGAAAATCAATTATAAAAACAGTTCTTAAGCTATCGGGATGAAACTTTCCCAAAAGTCTTCTATCTATTGCAAGTAGTATATAAGTCGGAATCGGCCGGATCGGACAACTATATCTTATAGATCGGAAAAAAAATCTTCCACTCTTGTGAATATTATTTTTCAAATAATAATGAATTTCTAATTAAATTCAGAAAAAATTGGAGCACTATATCATATAGCTGAAGAAATAATAGGAAATTTAACAATTTTGCGATTTGTAAATTAATAGAAATGATCTGCAAGGGTATATAAGCTTCAGCTGGCCGAAGTTAGCTTCCTTTCTTGTTTTTAAGTCTTTTTAAGTAATAAAACATTTATGTATAAACGATAGCGGAACAAGAAATGTTCCGGCCTGGATAGTGTCTTAAATTTTATGGTTCAACTCACTTCTGTTCGCTGCGTGTTTCCAGCTGTTCCCCGGTGGCTTTCGACTTTCTGCGCCGCACGAAACCTGGACTTTCTGGATAGTAGTCCGCCGCATTGACCGTCTCCTTTTCGGAGGATCGCAACAGGGGCTTCTGCTCCAGAGGCTTGGGTTTCACGGGCATAGATGTAGATCGGTGCATGGGTAGGGATTCCGTGCCAGCAGCTCCCAGGGGAATTGCTTCCGATTGCATGACCAAAATTCTGATATTCTATTCCGAGATTCTACGCAGCTGCGGGATTACTGACGAGCGTGGCCTATAATTGTCGGGAATTTGGGGCAATTTCACTCCGTCGCGTAGATCTGCGTTTTAATTTTAATTGAATTAGGCTGCAGTGGCCGACGATGGCGATGGAGAGAGAGCTCAACTTGATTGCCTGACCGCTTGACACTGACTAAGTCGGGCTACTATCGCCCCATGAAGATGTGCATTTAGATTTATTTATTATCTGGATATTGGAGCAGATGACAGCGCTTGTCCGACGGAGGTTGTCCCGCTGAGATTAGTGCCTCGAAATGTGCCCCATGATTTAATGTATAATTTAGCCGTTATCAGTGTATTTATTTTGCGAACGATCAAATATTGCCCTAAGTCTAACAAATATTCTACCTTTATCCGCCAGGAAGGCAGTCTGATCTTGATAGTGCTGCTTGGCTAAGACTAGAATTATTGTTTGCCATAATGTCCGGTTAGTTTTTAATTTTGTCACTTTCGTTGCATTCATTACACAGGCCGACAAAATGTGACATGGGTCGGTGTCCAGGACTGCCACCATTTTATTTCGATAAATGAGGCTTTTATAAGCATAAGTTGCCACTACGCCTATAGTCCATCAGCTCTGGTATTTGCGGTATCTTTAATTTAAGAAAATCACAAATTTTCTTCGTCTTTTGGGATATATCTTCAAGAGTGGTCAACCAATTTCGGTAATCTTTTCGGAATTAAATAGTTGCATGTCTCTTTTATACGGTCGTTTTGGAAAATTCAATCTAAATGAACCACAAGAGAAGGTGGGCGCATTTAAAATTTTAAAGTCACAGCAAAGTTTAAATATCTTCATTTGTGAACAGCGTTTAAAAATTAAATAAAAATATACATGGGCGTAAGCTAAAAGCTGGAGGGGGATTACACTTCAAGCATTTCAGCCCCCAAAGATTAGTAGGCTACGCTCATGTGCTTATACTCAAAGCAAAACTACTTAGATCGTTTAGAATTATGATATTTAAAATTGTGACAGGTTTGGGCACTGTTTGTAAATCGTCACTGTGATGGAAGGAAGAAAAACAATTTTAAAAATTCCAAAACAATTCACAAAAACCTGATGAGTGTCCTAAAAATTAAGGACATAAGGTGTCTTTGGATCAAAAATGCATTGTAGAAGAAAATATTTTTATTTAATTTTTAAACGCTGTTCACAAATGAAGATATTTAAACTTCGCTGTGACTTTAAAATTTTAAATGCGCCCACCTTCTCTTGTGGTTCATTTAGATTGAATTTTCCAAAACGACCGTATAAAAGAGACATGCAACTATTTAATTCCGAAAAGATTACCAAAATTGGTTGACCACTCTTGAAGATATATCCCAAAAGACGAAAAAAATTTGTGATTTTCTTAAATTAAAGATACCGCAAATACCAGAGCTGATGGACTATGGCGTAGTGGCAACTTATGCTTAGAAAAGCCTCATTTATCGAAATAAAATGGTGGCAGGCCTGGACACCGACCCATGTCACTTTTTGTCGGCCTGTGTTATCGGTCTTACACACGGTTGGCTCTTTTTTTTCGCGCTGACTCTTTGGCCCATTTTTATTGAATTTCGCTCTTTTTTTGCTAATAGCAATACAAATATTTTAAACTTGAAAAAAATGATTTCATTTTTGTATAAATGCTTTTTTTTTTGCAATTTTAAAAGTGATTAATGGCTGAAACCCAAAAGTGCCAGATCGAAACTAAATTGTTCCGCTGGTATGGTAATTTGGTAAATGGTAAAAATTTGGCTCTTTTTTATTCAAATGGGCTCATTTTTAACCTTTTTTGGCTCATAAACAATTTTTGAAGTGCCAACCGTGGTCTTACATTCCTAATGGAGATCAAAATCTGAACAATTCAATCAATTAATTAAACATTATCCAAACCATTTCAGATGATATATAATTACATTACACACTTCTAACCATATTCTTTCATTCGCACCTGTTATAACATTGCCTTTTAAACAGACCTCATTTATCCAGCTTAAAATAGATAACAAACATAATGATACCCCATAAGTCTAAAAATAAATCAGAAGCTTTGCAGTCCCAGATTCTCTCAGTTTACATTATAAGTCGTTCTGAACGACTGAACGAAGACGCTTTTAAGTTCGTCTTTAGAAAAACATAAGTAAGTCAACATTATTTGTATACGTCTTTCTCATAGAGTATTCGTTGGAAAGTATTTAAACGGGTACAAGGGAGCATTTCCGACCTGCTGATATGTACATTGTACATACCTATATTCATGATCAGAATCACTTACCAAGTCAATTAAGCCATGTCACAGTTTTAAACCTATCGGCATAAAACCTTTTCAAAAATCGTCTTTCAATTGCAGGTTATACCAGGAACAGTTGGTTGCAAGGACTCAAGTAGCATGGATACTTTTTAAAGAAGTTCGTTTGAAATTGTTTTGCCAATAGAACGCATATGACTAACCACAAAAGTTTTCAACAAAAGCTGCAGACTAAAAAACGGGGGTTCCTTTTTGAAAATAAAAGAATATAATTATTGCAAGAACTTTCTTATGTATATATGGGCACTTCCAAAAAAAGTCCACCAAGCCAAAAACCTTGAAACTTGAATAAAACATATTTCCACACGATTTTGCCCCGATATTAGTTTCTAATTAGTTGGATACTGAGCTTAACTACAAATTTGGAGTATAGTTTGATCATTTTTATGACAAACCCCACCAATATACGCAAAAATCAGTTTTTGGCTATTTTTTTGTTATTTTTTGGACCTGTCTTCTATTGTTAATTTATCCTATAGGAATGCTAATATGTGACATTTTTCTGTACTGAATGCTTCATTCACATACTAAACTATTAAGTTAAAAGCAAAACATCCAGCAATTGAGAGATAGAGGTAAAGAAATCCGCTTTACAAAACAGTCGGAAAAAATGTCCCGAGCGACATGTCCCGAGCGAATGTGGTTGAAACTGCATAAAAAAAAAACGGCAAAGAATTTTTGAGTGAAACCAAAAGCATTTCACAGCGACATGTTTGAACAACATTCTAAAAAAAATCGCATTCAAATATTCCATCAGAATTCGCTAATTTCTGGTGTTGTATGAACTTCCCCGAAATCCACTTCTATTTTTGTCCCGAGCGAATACGGCAGTTTTTTACCGATATCTTAAAAACTAAAAGTGGTACAAAATCAAGATTTTTACCAAAAATAGAGCTTTGGAAGAGTGAAAAGAAAAGCCCATAATTAAAATTAAAATCCATTGTTTTACAATTTTTTTTCAACTTTAAATGTCCCGAGCGACATTTTGGAAGTGCCCATATTGATTTTTAAATAAGACGATGGTCACAATTTTCACTGCTCATCGACCCGTCGCGAATTCTTAAGATCAAGATGGTTATTTGTATATAATATTTAAAATTAAAGGATACGATATATCGACATTTGTTTGAACTTCTTCAAATTATAATTTGTATGATCCACAAAAACATATTTTCTATTGTTCTAAAGAATTCGCGATTTTTGAAAAATCAATATATAAAATACCATTAGGTTTCTTAGTTAAGTTATGTATGATCCACACAAATAAATCCTCTTGCTCCTAAGAATTCGCGGTCTTTGATAAATCGATATAGAATATATCATTAGGGCACTGCCCATATATAAAACAGACGTATGTTAAATAACTGTTTTGCAAGTTTGAGTTTCAAAAGTTTGTTTTGTGCATAAAAAAACTATAATTTTAAGTTTGAAACCCTTTACAGGCTTTTAAAACATTTTTAGTAAGTGTAATAAATTGAAGGGATTAATTAAAGCTTGTGGTTTCTGTGCTTGTAAGAGCCTATAAAAGCTCGAACCTTTTTTGCGTACACAGCATTGTGTATTGAAATCAAATACGAAATGATTGCACATTTTGTTAAACAGAAATTTCTTGGACGAACGGTTAAGTCCGCAAAAAAGCTAAAAAGAGAGTATTACGTCGTCGGTGACTTCCTAAGAGTGCCCGTGATCTTTTACGAAACCTTGGGCATAAATCCATACGAAACTGACCAAATTCCCGGTTTATGGTTGCATTTATACTTTCTGTTGTTAATGAGTAACGCGGCCATACAATTGACAACGGCAGTTCTATTTGCGTTTATTTCCTTCCAAAAGAACGATAACGTTCTTGAGGGATGTATCATGCTCGGATACGTTGCTTTTACGGTTACGGGCTTGCTAAAATTAATTGCTGTAAAGATGCAGAAAAAGAAATTGTCCACTTTAGTAAGTGGGCTAGAGTCCTGCTTCCCACGGTTCAACAAAATGGAGCAGGAGCAGTATGATGTGAAGAATTACCTGAAACGCTGTCAACTCTTCTCGAAAGGCTTTGCAGGACTCCTCATGATTATGCTTTTTACACACAGCCTGACCGCCATCGTTATATACGCCTTTAAGAGATTGTGGCTCCGATCCCCAGATGCCAAGCAATCTCTGCCCTTTGTTGACCTGGCGCTATGGAACTGGCACGGATCGTGGCGATTCTACATGACCTACGTCATGCAGGTGGTCTCTGGCTATACTGCCACATGTGGAAACATGTGTGCCGACCTCATTATCTTTGCCGTGGTCTTTCAGGTCACCATGTACTTTGACAGGCTGTCCAGGGCTCTCAGGGAGTTCAGGATCCTAAACCGTACCGAGGTTGATGGAGTGAGCAAGAACCTGGAGGAGCTCCGATCACTGATTGCCTATCACATCAAAATACTCGGGTTGGTCAATTGTCAATTTACCTCACAGTTTCTTATTTTAAGGTACATATATCTTGTAGACTCACCGATATAATGAATGCGGTCTTTGGTATTTCGTTGCTGCTTAACTTTCTGGCCTCCTCGTGGCTCGTCTGCCTTGTGGGTTTTCAGTTAACCATCGAATTCAGCCCCGAACATTTCTGCAAGCAGGTGCTACTCCTAGTTTCCGCTTTGGTCGAGATATATCTCCTGTGCTGCTTCAGTCAGATGCTGATCAATGCGGTCTGTTAAGCTATTGTCTAAGTTCTTTCACTCTATGCAGTTAAGTATTTTCAGAGCGAAGACGTGAGGCTGGCAGTCTATGATATGAATTGGACAGAGGCCGACCCAAAATTTCGAAAAATGCTCATTTTTCTATCTATGAGAGCTCGGAAGCCCATTTGTCTAAAAGCTACGGTAATGATGAACGTGTCCGTTAAAACAATGAGTGTGGTAAGTTAACTAAGATAGTCTGGAAAATTTAATGTATTCTACTTTTAATCGTTATTTTAGTTTCTGCAAGTATCGTATAAATTCTTCTGCGCTGTCCGGATGATGTACCAGTAAATAAGTAAAATAGAAACAAAACACTTTGAAATTAACTATGTTAAGGAGGATACGGATTCCTGGTACCCAATAGTTGCTACTGAGGTAAAACTTGTTTTGTTTTGTTTTGTTTCAGAGTAACTTTTTAAAGAAAAACAAAAAAAAAATTAAAAAAGGTTTTTTGCTATACAACTGGTGTGGAAAAAATCTTTTTTCCACCCATAGACGGTTCAGTCCTATGCAATATATGGTTTTCAAAAGTATGCTACACAAAATTTATACTGAAAGCCCCACCCACCTCAAATAAATCCTGGCTATACCACTGGATGTACGTAACAACCATAAAGGATTATGGTTGAAATGATTACCCCGATAAGGTTTAAATTTAGCAGGCACACACCACATAGGTTTGGTTCCATGCTAAAGCATTCTACCTGTAATGTAGAAAAAATGTAGATAACCGAGGGAACCCATTAAAATTCGCCCTTTGGTTAATTTCAAAAACTTGTAACTTTTTTTATTTAAACAGTGGGCGCGTTGTTTTGTTTGTCATTATTTTTCATACATTTCTCGTCGTGTCACGCTCGTGTGTGTATATGTACAAAAGAATACCAATGCTTAAGACGAATCTAATAATAGTTATGCACATACGTTCGTATTTTTACATATATTTATGGATCTGCCAATTCTCGATTTGTACAATTCGATTTACACGTTTGTAGAACATTTAGGGTTTTAGGCATACTTATTTACAGCTAGATATTAGACATAGTTTTAGGGATCTCCTGCTGGCTGCTCTGCTATAGGAAATTTGCTTGTAGAAATTGCTCTTTATCTGTAGTTAGGGTTCCTCTTCCTTGATGGATGTTGTTGGCGGCGTGATTGCCGTTGCCGCCGTGGGAAAGAGTTTGGAGGTCAGGGTCTTCTTGAGCTCCAGAATGGGCTGCGAGTCCTCCTCCTCCTGCTCCTCTTGGTCTCTACTGGAGGAAGTGGGTGCGGCCGTGTTGTCCGCCGCCGCCGCCTCCTCCTGCGAGGAAGTGGGCGTGTCACGCGACGAGGAACACGAACTGGCCGCCGATGTTGCTGTTGACTGGTGCTGTTGCTGCTGCTGCTGCAGCTGATCATGTTGCTGCTGTTGCTGCTGTTGCTGCTGCTGCTGTGTGACCTTGCCCATGAAGCTGCGTATCTCCTCGAAGTAGGACTCTTCGGTGGGGTTCTCGCAGAACCGCCGTATGCAGTGCATCCTTTCGCTCACCCCGGAAAGGGCGCTCAAGGACACGGCATCGGACTCGTGCTTCTTGAGGTGCCTGTCCAGATTCGTCTGTTGGCCAAAGCATCGCTCGCATATCTCGCACTTGAAGGGCCGCTCCTTGTTGTGGATATTCCGCACGTGGCGCTGCAAGTTCGAGGAAATGCTGAAGGAACGTTCGCAGTACTTGCACTTGTAAGGCTGCTCGCCCGTGTGGGTTCTCAGATGCCGCGTCAGATTCGCCGATCTTGGAAAGACCTTGCCGCAAAACTTGCAGGTGTAACGATCCTTGTTGCGCTGCGGCAGATTGGGCGTGGCATTGCCACCCGCCGTGGCAGCCGTTCTGGCCTTGTTCTTTCGCCGCGTCTGATAGTCCTGCAGCTGCGGATGCGGCAGTACCGGCGACAACTTGGCATTCGGATGCGGCAGGGGCAGCTCCAGTTGCAGCTGCTCAGTGGGCGGTGGCCAGGTGAGCTCGCACTTCTTCAGCGGATGCCGGAAGGGAAAGTCGGATCCCGTGGGACTGCTGGAGGCCGCCGGACTCGTCGTCACCTTGCCGGGCAAAACCCCGGCGAACACATTGCGATACTGCAGGGGCAAGTTCTTGGTCATGGCTTCTAGGAGTGTGGGATGTACGGCGGGAATCGAACATTGCGGTGGTGTTAGGGGCGGCGCAGTGGGTGGTCCTCCCCCTCCTCCACCCTCCCTCAAGGCCCTCAGCATTTTCCGGCTCATATCGAAACCCAGATCGGCCAACGAGGCAGCTATATGATTGTTGTTCAGCTCCTTCTCCTTCTGCTGAGCCACCGCCAGTTCGCTGGCGAACATTATCAGGTTGCTGTTCTCATCCTCCAGAGGTCCCTGGTCCGCCAGATCCGTCTTCCTCTTGTGGGCCAGCCGCAGATCCAGCGGCTGATCGAAGCTGCCTCTTCTCTTGCCCTTGGCATGGTGATTCAACGTCTGATGTTGCTGGTGGGAATGCTGAAGCGACTGTTGATGTTGCAGCCTGCCAGCGGTCGTTGTTGTTGTCGTTGGCGAGGAGGACGACGAGGACGTTGAGGATGTTGCCGCCGCCGAGGAGGCCAGATCATAAGGTACGTGTGATATATACGATGTGGGTATTAATCCTAAGGCAGGGTATACGCAGCCCTGTTTCGGGCTAGGAAGCATCTTTCTTGGTGAGTGGTCTTTCTCTCTCATAACTCTCATAAGTCGCTCACGGGCCGTAACCGAGTTCTTTCTCCGTTTTCCTGAACCTTTCCGCTTGAATGATTGATTGATTGATTGATTGATTGGCGGTTCGAGTGATTGCCCAGGCTGCTGGTTGTAGGTTTGTAGTTCTCCGCTTTAGTTTATGCTGCTTACGACGCTCCAAATTGTTCTGATTTAAGCTTGCCTTCGTTTTACAGTTTCTATATACCTGAAAGCAAAAGCAGAGGTGACATGATTAGCTCAAAGTTTTGTTCAATCGTTTAAAAATACTTAAAAAATTTGAATTTTAAATGGTAATTTCAACTTGTCTTGGGATAAAGTTAAATTCATTCAAAAGTGTTATTTACTTATACCTACAAGATCACAACTGCCTTTACACCCATTACCAAAATCCAGACCTTGGCCAAATAAACCCAGTTCCCGGGGTGCGTCACAGAGTTCGACTTTTCGCAGCTGTGCCAGATAGGTCTATATGTTCTATATGTCTGCGGTTTTTCCACCTACGTCATAATGGGCCTGTCCACATACCAAGCAAACTAATAATAGTACTGTGCCAACTGTTCGGCAACCCAAAGAACATCTTTTTGGACCATTTTTGGTTATTTTATTCTAATTTTTTCTTTTTTAATTCTTTTGCCGTAATGCCAAAAACCTCGAAAAGGAAGGGGGGCCTCCGAAATGTTTAAACAATTGTTCTATTGTCTGTTGTTTTAGGGTGGAAAAATACTTGAAAACCGACAAGAAAAAGAAGTCATGAAAATTAACAAAAAACTTAACGGTATCTAGAGTGACGATTATGTAAGACAAACAGACGTGCAGACAAACATCTAAACACACACCTCGAGCGGGGGGTGGGGGGAGCTGATAGGTAGGAAGTGGGGTACAGTGGCACCTCGTGTGGAGGTCGTCCGACATCGCTTAAAGGTGCGTGCAAGGCAACGGAAAATGCGTGGGCCGAAAGGAGGAGGGCGGGTTACACTGGACGAAAATAAACGATTGAATTTTTCAATCAACATCCCAAGATCAAAATGTATAATAGTCATCAATTAATAATAATTAATAATACTACAAAAAAATCAATAAAAAAATTCGAAATTTGTTTCTTCAAATATATCTAATATCTACAATTGAACCAGAACAAAAATATGTTTCCAAATGAACGAAACATTTAATATAAAATCGTAGAATTAAGAATGTGATGACAAAATGTATCTTAATCCACCATGTTATTGCAAAAGTATAAGTTTCAAATATATTATCAAAAACAAGAAAGGAAGCTACCTTCGGCCAGCCGAAGCTTATATACCCTTGTAGATAAAGTAATGCTTACTCGGTGCTGTTCCAGGAAGTCCAATTTTGTCTTTAAGTAGTCAAGAATCAAAACGCCTACTTCCTACAATTATAATGAATTTTCTTATATTTGTTTGAATTTTCCTATGGGAGCCTTAAAATATAGTGGTCCGATCCGGCTCGATCCGACATATGTACTACCTGCAATAGAAAGAAGACTTTCGGAAAAGTTTCATCGCGATAGCTTTAAAACTGAGAGACTAGTTCGCATAGAAACGGCCAGACGGACAGACGGACATGGCTAGATAGACTCGGCTATTGGTGCTGATCAAGAATATATATACTTTATGTGGTCGGAAACGTCTCCTTCACTGCGTTGCAAACATCTGACTGAAATTATAATACCCTCTACAAGGGTATAATAAGAAAAATTAAAAATTCAAAAAATGGAATCTACATTGGGTCTAATATAGCTTTACCTAAGCTTAAAATGATTTTCTCGCTGTGCATCAACTTAAGCTCGACTCTGGGCAGATGGCACGCCAAGTAAAGACCTAAAAGAGATCCCCAACTCCTCAACCCATCATGTGAACCGAGCTCAACAGCAACAGCAAGAGCAAGAGCAACAAAAGTTGCATATTTGCCAACTGCAACAGCAACAGAAACAACAAAAACTTTAACAGACAACTTGCATTCAGGTGGGCGCGTTGATCTATGGAGCTCTGTTCTCCTATCTAGAACAGAATTTTTCATGAGACATTTTCGTGGGTTGCTGCTGTCGTCGCTGATGTTGCTGTTACTTTTGTTGCAATGTTGTTGTTGTTGTTGCAGCATTTAGCGATCGTCTGGCGACAACAAATTGCCTTTTTGTTGTTGTTGCTGGCTGGCCGTGTTGCCAAAAAGTTAATTAGCCGCATTTGCTGCCTTTGATTTGTTGTCTGCGGTGTTATAAAGTTGAAAATTATTGTTACAGAATTGTAATTAGAGCTTAAGAGCTCATGAAAGATTGTTGCATTTATAAACGCAGCAATCAGGTGGTTTATAATGGGAGGTTCTTGGGGAATTACTTTGAGATTTCGGAAGATAAAGTAGGAATATAGTTACAGAACTTCAGTATTATTTAGTCTTTAAATAAATGGAATTATTATTGTGGCCAATATTATATTTTGTCACATCATCACACAACTTTATAGCTATAAGGTAAACATTACGTTGTTTAGATACCAATTTCATAAAAATGTAAGTATCTTCTGTATTAACAAGGTTTGTAAATATTTTCTTAGCTGGCAAATGGCAAATTATTGATGTTCAATTAAAGGGAAACGAGTTTGAGCAAATTTGAGCTGGCAAAACATGATAGAAATTATTTGATCGACTTGAAGGCAGTCCCACAAATACAAAGACATTTTCGGTGGCTAAAAGTATTTGTTTTTACCAGCTCTAGTGCAAAGAATGGCGAGTGGAATCCCAGAAAATGAATGACAAAGCCAATTAAACTCATGTTGCACCTGAAGCGTCAACACCTTTCATATGATTTTTGCTTGTCAAAAGTAAAATCCCAGACCGCTCTTCCAGCTGCCCAAAAAGCCGCGATGTGTTTTTTAATTTGTTGCCGACGTGCCAAAGCGGTTGACAATTATAGCCGACTCTTAAGCTGGACGACACTGCATCATCATCAGAGACGCGATCATCGCGGCGATGATCACCTTTAAGCGGATGCCTGCGAAAGCCAAGAAGAAAATAAAATAGTAAAAAAAAAACCAATTAAAGAGTAACAAAGTTTAGGCCAAGCGACAGCGGACGACAACAACGAGAGCAATGAAGCAAACAGTTCAAGAAACGGACGGTGAAGGTACGGATACAGATTCAGATACAGGTACGGCTGCAGATGCACAGCCAAAGCCACAGATACAAATGCGAGTACGAAAAATACGAATAAAATCCCGCAAGCGGCGTCGCATGTTGCAAAGAAAAGTGAAATCAAAGTTGTAAAACCGCGAAAAACGCAGTCAGGCAGACAGACGATGGCGACGATGGAAAACGGCGCTCCAGATTGGCAAAAATGTCCAGCGGAGGAGATGTTGTTGCCGTTGACAATGTTGCTAGTACGGCATTGCAACTGCACTGAGGAAATGTCCTGTGGCTAATACTTTTTTAAAAACATTTTTACTTGGTTTTTTTTTTTTTAATCAATCTAGAAAGCTAATCATCTTATCTTCTTTTAAATATATAAAAATTTTAAAAAAATACACCCAAAAAAAATTGATATGAAACTATGATCGATTTGATGTTATTTTGACTTCCTCAATTCGAATCCCAAATCTAATGTGTCTTTCTTGAGAGAATTTGTACTACTCACTCCCACGTAATTTAAGTCGCCACATTGCTTCTTCCTCTCTTTTTTGAAGTCAGAGAATCTCCAAGAGAGAGATTTTGGTAAAACAATATGCGTATGCAAAGCCAGAAACTTACCATGCGCATATCGATTTGACCACGACGTGTTTGTGTGTAGTAATGGCCATAGGAAATAACAATTTCCTCACCCAGATATGCGATTAAAGCTACATTGTAAATAATAAATAAAATATTTAATAATTGTATTTAAATTAAAAGTTTAAATAATATAGTCCGCATAATGGAAAATTTAAAAATGTTTCTTCAATATATAGTTTTATAAAGGAAATATAAAATTGTACTACCACATTTTATGAGGATTTCAATTGTGAATTTTCCCCAGTGTTGCACCGTAACTGAAGCCTAGTTATAGAGCAGGAATCCTACGAGCAGCCCCAAAATTAACTTTGGCATGCAGCAGCTGCATGATGATTATTAAATGCTGGCCGCATAATTATCGCTATAATCATGACAATCGTCGGATGCAGTCGCGCTTCAGCAGCGGCAATAGCAAGAGCCAAAAGCATAATCAAGCGCAACTAAACCACAACCAAAGCCAAGACTAAGACTTGGCTAAAAGGAAAACCAAGCCAAAGCCGGCGACACACAATGAAAAACGAGAGTAAAAATCTCCAAAGCAAGCCGCTCACTGAAATGGAAAATTAAACCTTGTTACATCAGTCCAAGCAGCAGCAGAAACAACTTGCAACTTGCGATGCGGCGACAACAAATATTCGCTGGCAGGATAGCGGCTCACACACATTCGCACAGACTCTCTAACGAGGCAATGGCAACCTGATACCAAAAGCGTCACAACAAACATCCAGCGACAAACAAACAAACAGAAAAGGAAAGAGACAGACACGCACGGGCAATAAAGCTAATGCGAAATGCTTCAGATAGAAGAGATTAATACCAAAGATCATTCACAAGATCAGTGGTGGCATTTATTGGCTGATTGAATATTTAACCAATTCGAGGAATACCAAAAATTATTGATATACGAGCGATGGCATCGACAAAATTATGGATTAACTTGTGAATTTGTCTATAATATTTTTATGGAATTATTAAAACGTCTATATTTATAGTACCATTAATGCACAGTTGAAAAGTTTTTTAATATAATAGTTAGAGTGAGTAATTCTGCCCATAGAAAATGGAAGTAGAAATGGTAACCAATTTATTTTCAAATGTTTCTTAATTTATTGCGAACTGACAAAATAAAACAGAATTAAGCAATATCGAATCATGTTCTACAATTAACATTATGAAATGATATTACCTACCTATTACCTATTACCTCCTAATTGATGACTAGTAATGGATGAAGTAAACTTAATCATTGTTGTATATCTTAACTAAAATAATATTATTTCTCCTAA